TTTTTGTATTAAATAGTTGTAAACCTATGCCACAATGAATTTCCTTTGAAGTATGTTTTTTTTTTCCCAGTTGCTTAACTAACATATAAACATATAAAATTCTTTTGAAAAGTATTCGCAAAGGATGGATTGAGGAGGTAAAAATGAGAGTTCGAATCCTAATGAAATAATTCTTGTAAAGGTGAATTCAATGTTTTCAGATAATTACATTAACATTTTTTTAAAGTAAGACCAAATAAAAGGAGCGCCAGAAATATTTACAATTTTATTATTTTTAGACTTATCTTTAAAGTTTTAATCTTTAATGTCGATGGGTCCAGTTTGGTGGTCCCTTGGGTGTGTGTAGTTGTGTTTCAGAGACAAATCTATGGGGTCATGGGGGTTTGGTTATGTGCAAAACCGTGTCTCAGCCACTGTACTCTTAACATTGAGCAGTGCTTTTCTCTTTGCAAAGCTAGCTTGGGAACGTACGTAATAAAGGACGAGGGAGAAAAAAAATATTAAAATAAATATTTATAAAATCATAATTGTTAAATAATCTTTATATGATTGTGATCTTTTTATATGATCATATCATATTTTTTGTTAGGATACATTTCCAATTAATTTTGCTTAGCTTTTTGTTGGAGTCTAACTCCTTAACAACATCTTTATGGAATGGGTGCGTGAGACCCATCCTTGTTGTATTGCCATTGTTAGGGCTATTAATGATTTCACAATAATGCTTCAGGGGTTCTTGTAACCACTTATTGAGTGAAGGCAATAGGGTTGCAGATTTTCTGGCCAACCTAGCTCACATTGTCTTATAGGCCTCATTGGGGAGATTTTGTTAAGATTGCTGGGGTTTCACTTGTGCAGTGCAATGGTTTAGTTTGGGGCTCGGCCTTAATAATTTATGGGTAAAATGTGTGTCATTTTAAGAGAGAGAAAGAGATAGATAAAGGAGAAGAGAGAGTTGACAAAAAAAATAAAGGTGTGGGTCCCACCTCTTTGTGAGAGTGAAAACAATGTTAAAATCGAGATCTTAAGTAAAATCAGAAGGGAAATTTCCCTCAAACTCCAATGTCAAGCGGGTCCAGGGAAAGCCCGTGGCGGGGGCCACCACTAATGAGCTAAGGTTACACCAACCATAGCAAGTGGATCCGACACCATGTCTCAACCCAAAACCTTAAGGCATTGGGTTCATGGGTCCTTTCACTTATATACTCTTCACTTAGCTCATTACCAACCAATGTGGGACTCATCACACTTGAATATCTCAACAATCTCCCCCTCAAGTGAAACCCACCATTGGTATGCTCCTCCTCAACCGAGTACCCGAAGCGCAAAGTACTCGACCCGCCTCCTAGCCAATCACTAGGCTAGCTCGAGCTCAATCCAGCTCTGATACCACTGTTGGGAAATTCGTTCCCTCAAACTCCAATGTCAAGCGGGTCCAGGGGAAGCCCGTGGCGGAGGGCCACCACCAATGAGCTAAGGCTACACCAACCGTAGCAAGTGGATCCGACACCATGTCTCAACCCAAAACCTTAAGGCATTGGGTTCATGGGTCCTTTCACTTATATACTCTTCACTTAGCTCATTACCAACCAATGTGGGACTCATCACACTTGAATATCTTAACAGGGAATTAAAAAATCGTAAAATGTAAAATCGTAATGTAAAAAAATCGTGAAAAATCGTAAAAACGTAAAAGCGTAAAAGCATTTGAAATATTAGTAAAATCGTTTTGATGAAAAAAAATCGTAAAAACGTAAAATCGTAGTGATAAATCGAGATTTTAACAACAATGAGTGAAAGGATATAAGTTGTGTCATTTAGAAGAATAAACACTTTTCCCATAATTTATTTATAATCTTTTCCTTTTTATATTTATATTTATTTTGATTTTGATTTTTTCTTTTGGTAAACTTTATTTTGATTTTTTAAATAAGTAATAAACATGTTATGGACTGATATAAATGGTCTCTTATATCTGGATGCATGGTCCAACCCAAATCACTTCTAATTAAGAAATCCTTTGTAAAAATGAAAAATTTTCCTCACATGTACGGATTTGAAATCTTGACCTTTTTATTATTACTGTGTACATACACTTGTCCCTTTTGGCTCTGCTGCCACCCCATCATGTATAGTAATCTACTACTACTTGCTGTCGTCTTCTCCGTATATTTCATCACCCAAAATCCAACATCAACTTTTGCTCCACCATGATCAAACAAAACACTTTTAGAAAAAAAAAAAAAATTGCATGAATAATTGAAAATAGTATAGATTACACAAGGATAAAATTTATCAATATTTAGGTCTTTCTATTAATATATAAGTATAATTTCAGGGGTTAATATCTTTCATGTTATAAAAAATAAAATTAGGACATAATTTTTTTGTAGCAACAGCTGAAAAGTAATGTCTATCTCAGATACAAAAAATGAGATCCACTAATTAATTTTCTAAAAAGAAAATATCAAAAAAATCGAAGTAAGAGTAAGTGCAAAAAGCTTTCTGCCGCAGATGCATGCAGAAAATGATTTTCAATAAAAGTATCTCTCATGTATACATAAAAGTGTATGAGACTTATGTGGATCTATATAAAGAGAAGAGAAAAAAAAAATAGCTCTAACACATGTTTATGTATGTGTAAAAAATAAAATTATTTCCTATTACTTGAAAAAATAGTAAACCCATAATTTCAAAAGGTATATTATATTTACAAATTTTTTATTTATAAAATTTTATAAACTACATTATGTAATCCAAATAATACATGCTTAAATAGGATATATTATTATTAAATAGTACATAATTAAGTAATATACAATATTCTTAGTATATAATATAATTTGTAAAAAAAATATAAATATAACCTGTAATTTCAAAGTTACGACTTTTCTGTCAGATTTAAAGTGAGAAATCCAAGAAAAGTAGTAATTATAGATATATATTTTATTAAAAATTAATTTTGGATACGATAAAATCATACTTAAATCTAAAGATAAATTTATATTATTTTTAATTGTTTATTCATATTCTTTATATTTAGGTCAAATAAATCTGCATTAAATAATTGGGATATATATTTATCAAATAATAGAAAAAAAATTATTTTTCTTGCGGACACAATATTAATTGGGGTCCACTAATTTTTTATTCTTTTTCTTACTTTTACTTTTTCTCTCTTCTAAATTTGTATTTGCAGAAAAAATTAAAATTGTCCAGCTACATGATATATATATCTCTAAATAATTTTATTAAATTAAATGCTAATTAATTATATTCCAAGGCTTTTGTTCAATTTCAATTAAAGATACTTAAAATAATTACCATTTAAAATAATTTACATAAATATGAATTAAAGTCATGGTAATAATAGCGTTATCCAAAATTTAATCTTATCTAAATAATTAAATATCTTTCAAATAAAAAATAAAAACTTGTTATAAAAAAATAAAGTCATGGTAATAATATATTTTATTACTATTTTATTAAAATATTAAAAGTTAGAAAATAGTTAAATGATAAAAATTTATAATATTAAGATTATATTTTAATATAATTTTTAATGTTTTAAGAAATTTTATGAAATTATTTTTCCTATTTTTAATATGTGTTTTACTTCTTTACGAGAAAATTTATCTTATATTATGAGACAAATTAAGTAAGTTGCACCAATTTTTTAAAAAAGAAAGAAAGAAAGGAAGATAAATATATCTTTTTATGTAAATGTAACATAAGAGATAAATCTTATTAATATAAGAATATGATTTCTCTTTTAATATGTATTCGTATTTAATATAAATAGAACTCTCCAGTTTCTTATATATGTGATACAATAATAATTAGAGAAAATGTTTATCTTTTTAAATGACACAACTTATTTCTTTTCTCTTTCATATAGAGGCCACAATTTTATTTTTTTTGTTAACTCTCTCTCCTCTTTTATCTATCTTTTTATCTCTCTTATGATGACACAATTTTACATCGTTTAAAATGACATACACTTTTCGCTAATAATTAATTCCATTTACTTTAATCTGAATATTTTCAAAATTAAAATATTTTTTATTTTTTATTTTTAAATTTTTCACAGTTTAAAAAGCTTACTTTGCTCTTTTTGACTTCTTCACTACCTTTACTTTGCTCTGTCTACTCTGCTTTTGCAATGAATGCACCACCTTTCCTTATTAATACTCGAACGCTCTTTTTATTTCACTCCCTTTCTCTTCTTCCTCTCTCTTTCTCACTTTTCTCTTCTCTTCTCTTCTCTGATCCCCAGCATTAGTTTTCTGCATTCTTATGAAGGTGATGAATCTCTTACTTCTACCATTTCCCCACTTTTGAGGTATCATAGTTGTCCTTTTTCTTCTTTGATTGTCCATGTTTGGTTGCACTTTGCAACTATCTTCATTCAAAACTTACTGGGTATGAGTTTGCTTGCTTGCTTGCTTTGGACAATTAGCAAAGGAGGATCTGCATCATTGAATGCTCAGTTTCTCTGGTTTCTGATAATTTTGTTTTTCTGGGTTTTTGCAGCTTTGGTTTTAGGTTTTGTTTTATGGCTGAGCAAGAACCTAGGTCATTAAAGTTTGTTTTTATTTTGTTTTTTTTTATTTTGTTGGTTATATTGTTTTCAGTTTTGTTACTTACTCTGACTCATTGTGTTGTGAATGTATCTACTTGTTTAAGTAAGTAGGTTCAGTTTTACACTTCATCTCATTCCACTACTATGTTGTTTGTTTTTGGTTTCAATTTTTGGCTTGGCCTGCACACAGTTCTCTGATCTCTTCTGCTATGTGCCTATGTTGTTTGTTTTTGGTTGGTTTGACTCTCATTTTCATGGGGACAATTTATTTGGTCATGTGTTATTTTATAATAGCTGTTTTCGTTTTTTTTTTCCATCTTTTTTTTGGGTTATGATAATTACGTAACGTTTACTTAATCCCCTATGCGCATTTTTGGTCTATCTTGGATTCTTTGTTGACAAGATCAAACTCTCTTTCGCCTTTTTCTGCTTTTGGGGTTTTTCACTTTATCTCTTTTCGTATTTATGTGTAGTGGGAAACAGACTTTTCTGTAGTTTGTACTGAATTTCTTGCTTTATACCATTTCTTTCTCTCTTCCTCTCTCTCTCTCTCTCTCTGAATTGTCCGTTTACCAAATTTTTCTCTACGTGGTTGCAGTGGTAAACGAGGAAAAGGGCATGGAAAATTATATTTTGTAACTGAATGCTTTTGTTCATTTTCAGATTTGTGAGTTCAAGTTTATTAATTGTACTTTTCTTACTTTTCTACCTTAGACTAGATGTTCTTTCTGATGCTTTTGATGTTTTTGGCCAAAAAGGCTTTGTTGTTTTTAATAATGTTCTTCCTCTTTTCTCCTTATACTACTTGTCTTTTTTACTTTTCTCTCATTTTTTTTGTAAAAGAAAAGAAATTGGGGTTGTTTTGAATTTAAGAGAGAGAGTGAAGGCTAGAGAGAGAAGCTCTTCGGATGCTGTTGCAGGAAGCTTGAATTCGACATGTCAGTAGTGTGGTTTGGCGTGCAATTGGAGATTTGTGGCCTTGATATTTGTTTGATCTGCGTCACGATCTATATTTTGGGTCTTAACCCGTTTGAGAAATGAAAATGGGACAGAGTCTCTTAGGGCTAGGACTTGTTTGAAATCTATTATGAAAAACAGTTTTTTGATTTTCAGAAAAAAAAAACAAAAAACCCGTTTGTTAGTGACTGTTTTGTAATAAATATATTAAAAAACTGAAATTGTTCTTTTGTTTTTAAAATCATATTTAAAGAACATGTCTGTTTGAGTTGTTTTTGTTTTCTGTTTTGGTTTTTTACTTTCAAATAAATAAATAAATAAATAGAAAACACTTGTTTCCATAACTATTTTATAAAACAGTTTTAAGAACAAAAAAATCAAAACACAATCAAATAGGCCCCAGTGTTCTGCTTCTGTGTTCTTGTTTTTTGGTTTGGTTTTCAATGCGTAGTTTCTGGATTAATTTATTTGAAAGTCTCCATTTTGATCCTGTCAATGACCCGACAGATGTTTAGTATATTCTACTCCTTGTTCACATGTTGGTTTTTTGCTTTTTTAATTCATGTAACTTGTTTTGTTGATCTTAGTTTACTTTTTATTTTTCGTATATTTTCACATGTTGCAATGGCTTCATTTTTCTAGACCATATATTAACTATTACAGTCACATGTCTTCTTCTGTTCAGCTGGTTTCATTATCCATTCAAATAGCTTCTGGCTGATTTTTGCATCTGAATATAGAGGAAAGAGCTCATTTTTCTACAGTGAGGTGTAAAGTGGTGCTTATATTTTGACCTGAGAGAATATTTGGAGTTATAATTGTTTGCGCAGTTGACCAGACTTGCATTCTCAGCAATTGATGTGAGATCTAAAGTGAAAAAAGAAGCAACTTGACCTTATTTCCATCAGATGTCTGCGTTCTGGAGTTGAGCAAATGGGTTGTTGTGTCTCCACAAGCAGTAGGAGTACTTGTAGCAGTAGGAGCAATGGAGACATGGTTTCTCCATCTTGCTTAGAAGTTGGATTCTGTGGGCAAAAGAGAGCAAGGAGAACATTCTCTGATCATGTTATTTCTCTACACCATTTACCATCCTTACCTAGCAGAATTTTCACTAATGGAAAGAGCCGAGCTTCTTGCATATTTACGCAGCAGGGCCGCAAGGGCATTAATCAGGATGCCATGATTGTGTGGGAAGTAAGTATGTTCATTTTATCAGGGATGATACATGACTCCCAGTGATTGAAGAGAGACTTGGTTAATTTTAGACATTGACAGCCTAGTTTGAATCTGTATTTGTGCAGGATTTCATGTCTGAAGATATGATCTTTTGCGGCGTCTTTGATGGCCATGGTCCACAAGGTCATCTTGTTGCACGCAAAGTGAGGGATGCCTTGCCAGTAAAACTGCTTTCATTTTTGCATTCTTGTGAATCAAAGCGAAATGGGTCAGGTAAAGCTTGCTTCAAAGGGAACATAAAACCTGATAGCAGAGACTCAGAGAAGGATTGCTCTACTGAGGATAAGCTGAACTCTACATGGAGAGAAGCTTTCATGAAGGCATACAAGGCCATGGACAAAGAGCTCAGGTCTCATCCAAATCTGGATTGCTTCTGTAGTGGGAGCACAGCTGTGACTATAGTTAAGCAGGTAGCAGAAAGAGTGGCATCTATGTTTTTATTTCTCATTATTTTACGGTTTTCTTAATTTCTTATCGTACCAGGGATCAAATCTGTTCATGAGCTATATTGGGGATTCTCGAGCAATCATGGGATCCAAGGACAGCAATAATTCCATGGTGGCAATTCAGTTGACTGTTGATTTGAAGCCTGATTTGCCAAGTGTGTCATATACCATCATTTATTCTCTCTGTTGAATATTTGTTTTTCTGTTGATGTTAACTTAGTTCCAATCTGGCTGGAAATCCTTATAGGGGAAGCAGAAAGAATTAAGCGGTGCAAGGGTAGGGTATTTGCTTTGCAAGATGAGCCGGAAGTGCCTAGGGTATGGTTGCCTTTTGATGATGCACCAGGATTAGCAATGGCTAGAGCATTTGGAGATTTCTGTTTGAAGGAGTATGGTGTGATTTCTATACCTGAATTTTCTCACCGGCTGCTTACAGACAGAGATCAATTCATTGTTCTTGCCTCAGATGGGGTAATATTTTCAATCTCATATCTATTTCTTTATTTGTTTGTTTGTTTAATTTTGCTTTGTTATTCGGAAATTGTTTTGTTACTTCTTATCCTTGTGTGACTAGGAATTTTCAACATACATGATCTGCAATTCTGAAGTTAGTTTCTGTTGGTTAGTAGGGAGTTGTGACTGCCATGAAGAAATCATCATACCAGGTCATGCTGTGATAGTGAAAGAAGAAAATGTGATTAGTATACACCAATATTTAGATTAGTAATGAATTATGGGATAGCATTAACCATATGGTGATAGGAAGGAAACTGAGTAGTGACTTCTAGAAACCAACCATTGAGTAGAATTTTTAGTTTTTGGATGCGGTAGAAGAGTTTTTAACAATCTTGACAGAATTAATAATAACTTGTCTGGCTGTTTGTCAATCAGAAGCATCACAGCTGGAATTAGCTTGCACTTGGCAATCAAGATATAAAATTTAGACAGATGTATCTTTGAAGCGATAAACTTTCTTCCATACAAAGAAACAAATAACTAGCCAAAGTTCGCTAAATGATTGTAATTTTCTGGTCTTAATTCTCTTCCTGTGCTTTTGTTTATTTATTTCGCCAAAAGTGCACTCATTCTGGCCTTTTACTTATTTATTTATTCTTGTTTGGTTTTTATTTTTTGTTGTGCTTGAATATGACTGAGTGGAGTCTTAGGAGCTTCACTCATATGGATGGCACATGAAAATCAACTTGGTTCAGGCATCACCAACGTTTTTTTATAATACTTTTCATACTACATAATTCTGTCAGGTTTAGGTCTGTGTGGAAGGCATGAGAGTTGTCAAGTAACTCTGCTTGAAACCTATGGAGAAAATTTTTCTCTACATAATAATGCTGTTCCTTGTAATCTAGAAAAGCAAATAGTCAGTAAGATCTTTAGACTTTCAGCAAGTGGCACTTTACGTAGCATACAAATATAAGAAAAGTGGACATTTTGCAATGTGGCAAGATATGGCAAGATATTTTCCTTTTGCCTAGCCAATTTTGGTGAGTATACAATATGCATTGCCTATGTATGTGGATTTTGAAACAACTGCATGGTTTTATCCTAAAAAAGAGTTCCTCACACCAACTATAGAATGATACTTCATCCCCCACTGGATAAAATTGTGTATATTGCATTACCGGATGAGATTGTTAGAGCACCATATAATTGATTGCCAAGCTTCCCCCGTGTCTATCTTTTCTAACTGAGCAGGACATAAAATGAATTTGCACATAGCTTATGGAGGATAGAATATGCTACTTCTGTTGATACAAAACAAACCACCTTTCTAAACTTCAATGTTAGATGCGAAAGCTTCCGTCTTCCCCTGAAGGGTAACTGATTCTCTTGGTGTTTTGTGCAGGTTTGGGATGTTTTAAGCAATGAGGAGGTGGTTGAGATAGTATCATCAGCACCAACACGATCATCGGCAGCAAGGATTCTGGTGGATTCTGCTGCTCGGGAGTGGAAACTCAAATACCCCACTTCAAAAATGGATGACTGTGCTGTGGTGTGCTTATTTTTGGATGGGAAAATGGACTCAGAATCTGATTATGATGAACAAGGCTTTTCTTCTGCAACCATCCAGAGCAACCATTCGGGTAATCCAATGGAATCTGATGATGGACAAAAGTCTGAGCCATCATTGCAAAGGAACTTTACTGTGAGATCCTCAGAAGAAAATGAGAATGATGGAGCACGATGTGTTGAAGTTGAAGATGGAACATCATCAGCTGATGATCAAAACTGGTCAGGTTTGGAGGGTGTCACCCGTGTAAACTCACTCGTCCAACTTCCTAGATTTTCTGAGGAAAGGCCAAAAATCTTGAATTTGTTGGTTTAATGGGAAATGTTTATTGTAATAGCTGGGGACAACACAATGAATTCAAAAAGAATTTTTTTCTGTTATGTGGTATCATTCTGATGCTCTTTGGTTGGCTAATTACTTGTAGAAAACTAAGATTTATTAAGTTCACAAAACGTAATTGGTTTCAGCATGATGACGTTCATTTTTTAACAGGCACTGAGATATTCTTGCTCTATGTCCAAGATATTCCAGCAAATCATAGTTGAAAATGGTATCCTTCATTCTTTGGATACAATTGTGAGAATTGAATACATGACTTAATATAAATTAGGGAAAAGTTCACCAATATTTTTGTGGTTTGTTTTAGAACACTTATGTCATTGTGATTTTTTTCTATCACATATGCTCCTGTGTATTGCAAAAGGGTATGTTTTTATCACATATGCTCTTGTAGTTTTTTATTTTTTACAAAGTACAGGGGCATATGTGATAGAAAAAAATCACAGAGACAAAGATGATTCTAAAGCAAATCCACAGGAACATTGGTGAACTTTTTCCTATAAATTATTCAAATTCCTCATCACTAGAGCAAATTTAAAATGGTATCATTCTTAACCCAATTCAAAGTCCTCCATATATAAAATTTGATGTTGCCGGCTAATGTTAGAATATACTTATTATTGTTAATTAATTATTGAGGTAACTTTAGTGATGTATGATTGAAAGCTTCATACACTGAACCATGCCCAATGTTGATAGGTCCTCAGTGGAAGAGAGTAACGTATAAGCAACTGTTACTTATATAATATTTTAGGATAAAGTTTTTAACTTTTGTTCTTCAAATTTAACAATAGATATATGAAGTAAGATATTCTTACCACTCATTTTTTTTACTACCACTTCACTACCACTCTAATCACCATTGGATTAGAGAAAAAGTTGAATGAAGAGAAAGAAAAAAAAATAACTTTTGACCAATGGTGATTAAAGTGATAGTGAAGTGGTAGTAGAAAAAATTGATAGTAAGAATATCCTACCTCTAGATATATTAGTATTTTAAAATGTAAACATTTCATTCTGAACTATAAATTAAAGTGAATATATTAATCTTATTTATAACCTAACGTGTGTAATCCTAAAAAATCAAAGTAATTTTTTTATATATTTTTAAAATTAAAATTTGAGTGTTTAATCTAATTTTTATATTTAAAAATCTGCAAGCTTATTATGAAAGCAATTGGACTAGCATCAATTCCGACAGCCAGAGCGACAACATGAGCGCGTTCTTGATTTTCAAGTCACCGCATTCAGGTTCTGCTATGATTTGTGATGTGGACTAGCAACTCCAATGATGTATATTTACACTTTTCCATGTGGGAAAAAGATGTTCATGAACATATTTTTTAGTAATTTGTTCCTGAATAGGTTGCTTACATTTTATCTTTCATCCGCATATATATATGAGGTAGGATTCTTTGACACCAGTGTCAAATTTAAAATTTGACACTTTACCTGAGAGTCATTAGATCAAAAAAGATCAATGGTGTCACATTCTTACAAATCAGAGCCATTGATCTTTTTTGATCTAATGGCTCTCAGATGAGGTGTCAAATTTCAAATTTGACACTGGTGTCAAAGGATCCTAACTCATCATATATATATATATATTAGATTAAAAAAGATCAACGACTTTCATTTGTAAGCATATGACACCATTGATCTTTTTTGATCTCTCAGATGAGGTGTCAAATTTCAAATTTAACACTGGTGTCAAAGGATCCTACCTCTATTAAGCATATGACACAATTGATCTTTTTTTATCTAGCGGCTCTCAGATGAGGTATCAAATTTCAAATTTGACCCCAATGTCAAATTTTGACACCTCATCTGAGAGCTGTTAGATAAAAAAAGATCAACGACCCTGATTTGTAACCATCTGACACCGTTGATCTTTTTTGATCTAACGGCTCTCAGATGAGGTGTCAAATTTGAAATTTGACACTGGTGTCAAATTTGAAATTTGACACTGGTGTCAAATTTGAAATTTGACACTGGTGTCAAAGGATCCTACCTCATATATATATATATATATATATATATATAGGGCTTATCATTTCTCAAGCTGCCGGAGATAAAGTTAAATCATAACTGTACAAAGATGGATCAATGATGATAAAGAAAGAGAGAGAAAAGAGAAATCATAACCATTCAAAGGTGAATCAATACATATAAGGAAATAAATAATCAAAACGACGTAATTTTGGGGTGGCCAGAGATAAATTTATCTCAAGCAGCTTGAGAAATGTTTTTCTTATATATATATATATATATATATATATATATATATATATATATATGGGTTTTATAAGAGTTATGTTATAGGAAAAATGATTGTGTAATGTTATAGAGATTCGTTTTGCGTGCCGAAGTTTTTTTTTTTTTTTTGCTGCGGACCCCACAAAATATTGTGTGTGTAGGAAACTTTTTGTGGTCATGTTAAATGATAGATGATAAACCCTATATATATATATATATATATATTTGAGAGTTATGCATTTATCACGTACTAATAAGTGGGATATTTTTTTTTTTTTTTTACCAATCATTGTAACTCTTGACAATTGATGTGTGGTGCGAAAAAAGATTTTTTTTTTTTTTTTTCAGTTAGATAAAGTCTATTCTGTCATTTGTAAAAATATTTTTAATGACTGCTATATTTTTGTCATGGTTCCCACATGTCAAATAATAATTTGGGTATCTAACACAAATAATGCCCGAGTAAGAATTAATCTTTGTAACTATCATTTTCCTTTCTTTTTTTTCATGGGATAATCAAGCCTAAACTTAACAGTTAGGAATCCTTTACAATTTAAAAAATTATAGTCAACCTGAAAGCATTTGCAAGGGAAAGCAATTTCGGGAACCAAGTGGGAATTTATCTTTCACCAAAAGAATATAGGAAATCCTAGTAAAACCATTTTCCATTTTTAATCATGTATTGTAACTCCCCACTTAATGTGTGCAGTGGTAATCTTTCTAACTTATGATTCGTATATTGTGAATATATTTCTCTAAGTAAATAATTGAAAGGTAATGCTAGCAGCAGATCAAAATTTATTATATCATTATTTTCATTGCAGCGTCCGAGGCATCGTTAGATATGAAGTAACAAAAATCAAGATCAATGACTAGTTATACTAACAGCATAAATTACGATGCACAAGATGACTCTTTAACCCATTTGGGGTTTTTACTCCTTTAATTTATCAATTTGGTATTTGGTTCAAGGTATTTATCAATTAGTGACGCGAGACATAAAATATATTTGGTCCATGGTATTTACCAATGGGTATTTGGTCCACTTTTTTACAGATTTGAATTATGTTTGTGAGAAATAAAATATATCAAATGAGATGTCATTGCGTAGATCTCAAAAAGTTATGTGAAATAAAAAAAAATCATCTCATTTGGATACTCGAATAAAAAGTTATGACTTTCTGAAGTTTTACGGTAACGGAACTAACGAGATTGTGCCACGTGAGTGCCTCAGGAGAGGGGGCCACTCATTTGGAGAAAAAAAAAAATGTGAGTGACGCGGGGGGTTATTCGCGGCACTCAGTGCCGCTGGGTCCCCCTTGCGTCACTCAATGACCCTCATTCATAAATATTGTGAATAGAATACCAAATTGATAAATTAAATAGGTAAAAACTCCAAATGGGTCAAAAAGCCTGCACAAGATCCCCCGATTTACTATGATGGGAGTGAAGGTTACTTATACGCAATCTTATCTTTATATTTTTCTCAGACTTCCATAACCTTTGTTTTCCATAACCTTCGTTTCAGAAGGAGTATTCTTACCGCTACTCCAAGACTTGTTTCACTAGAATATGAAGAGGGGGAAAAAAGGGTACGAAGAGGGTAAGGTGAAAGTGGCAGTATAGTGCATTAGAGCTGTGCTTTGAAACACTCTCAACTTGGAAAAGTGCTGAAGTAAAAACTAGCAAGTGAGAGTAGATAACATAAAAAATGCAGCTAGTACATATGACGGTGCATAAATCAGCCATGTGAAGGCTCCATTTAGTGGCTGTTAAAACATTGGTGACTATCTTCCTCAAATAGTAGGTAATAAAACTGTGGCCGAACAACATCTTAACCAATAACCATTTGTGTCCTGCAATTCAATTCACTAAGCCACAAATGATCAACACTACCAAGTGACCCCATGCGTATATGTCATGGCCCTGCACATTACTCACCGCCAAAGTTCACTCATCTCTGAATTATATAATGCATCCACTCCCTTCTGGCTTCAACACAAAAGTGACAAACCAAAAGACATCAATAATATCCTCATTGCACTTCTTATCTGAAAATGGCTCACAGAGCTTCCTCTTTCCTTCCACTTGTTCTCATCTCCACTATCCTCCTTGTCACGGCATGGCAAGGAGTTTCTGGACGCAGCATTGCTAAGAACTCCAACACTGAGGACAAGAAAGAGCCTGAATGGTTGTTCAAGTCTGATGGTAGAGTGTATATTCCAGGCATTGGAAGAGTAGGATTTCCACCTAAATATCGGCTTACACCTCAAAATCCATTTACTGGTGGCAGTGGAGGAGCAGGAACAGGAATAGGAACAGGAGCAGGAATAGGATCATCACCACCAGGTCGCAATTATGTCCCAGGTGGTGATGACACGTTTGTCCCAAATCCTGGTTTTGAGGTTCCAATTCCTGGCGGTGGAGGAGCAGGAACAGGAATAGGATCATCACCACCAGGTCGCAATTATGTCCCAGGTGGCGATGACACGTTTGTCCCAAATCCTGGTTTTGAGGTTCCAATTCCTGGAAGTGGGGGTAGAGTTCCAGGAGTAGTTCATCCATGACTTTACTCATGCATGATTGTAATAGCTAGACTTAGTTTGTAAGCCTATTATGCTTAAGATCGACTTTTTCAGCTTTCTAGCCATAAATAAGTGTGCTCCATGTACACACTTCTATTCTGCTACTTGGTATGGGCACTATGGACTTCTAAGTCTTTCAGCTCTTTCCTTGTAGCATTATTTGAAGCCGAATTAAGTATTATGTAAGTTTAATTGTTCTTCTAAGTAGCTGCTGATTGTGGGTCCTAAAAGATAATTAAATAGTTAGTAACTGTTTTATATGTGACATGGGTTTCTTTGAAGCCATCAAAATGGTAATTTACCCGCAGATGAGTATCATGTCTATAAAATCAGGAATATAGGGTTTTAAAACGTACAAATTACTTATTGATTAATATGGGACCATTCAGCACATGGTAAAGTAACGCAAACTTGGGATTTAAGTAACAAGTCCCACTGAACAAATGTTGTCAATAACAGAAACGGATATCAATTAGGACATAGAGATTCCTCTTGACGTTGAAGACATATCAGTGATATCACTGATCTCACCTATTCAATTTTCACACTTCAAATCAACCAACCGGCCCCAATTCACATACTATAAGCGTCTAAACAAAAAGCAATGATATAGGAGAACAAACTCATTTATTTTCAGTAACATCTCACATCATAATAAAGACAGAAGTTCAGCACTTGAATCTATAGTAGGTATGCATCAGAAAACGTATTTACCAACCTACCACAAGCCTATCACATGCAAAATAGTAGTTTTAAGTCCCCCAATCCATCAAGGAGAAAGTAGAAGAAACAAACACACACCCCCACACACAATCGTACAATCTGTGCATGTTTAGATTTGCTGAAATTTCTAGGAAAAAATGGCCTCTTTTTTTTCAAGAAATTTGTTATTTTTTTATTATAAGCTATTTAGAATCCAAAATAAGTTAATCAAAATACATCTCTTCCCATATCTGGTCCCCCCCCTCCCCTAAAAGTGGTATGTTTACATAATTTTACTCGACCCAAATGTAAGAACGGATCATACAAGAAATATCCAATTTTGCAAACCATGGTATTTTTCAGAACAAAAGTTTCTCAACACATAAAAAAGATGATATATTCTAGGTGTAACACTACAGTACCCTTAAGAGGTCCTTATAATCCAATGAAAGATGCAAGCTAGGATCTGATCAAAACTGACAGATGCCGCAACCTTCCATCTTGGAATTAGATCTACAATAGGATATGCCAGACAAGTATCCTGGCAAAATAAAAGGAGGTTAAAAAGATGTACATCAAAAGAAAGCATTCTTAAGAAAGTGAAGTAACATTAGCACCATACACAGAGTCTTGGAATGCAAATGTGAGTAATATTTCAAAAGCTAAAAGAAGTCAGAAGCCTAAAAACTATTGAAACTCCCCAAAAGAAAACCTTTTATTGATTCACTCAAATATAAGAATAAGAAAGCAGAAAATAACATAAAAATATAATCAATAAAATCGCCAATAATGACATCCATAGATTTCCAATGAAGCAAAACTTCCCACAGGGATAAAGCAAACATTCATTAACCAATACCAATAAATTGCTTTATAGTTGTTCAAAATCTTCAACTGGGAGGATAAAAAAAAAAATCCCAAAACTCATTCCATTTATTTTGCCGAGTAAAATGTAAAAGCAAAAGTCAGAAAATAAAATAAAATGACATAGCTCCAATAGAACATGATGAATATACAAGACCGCAAGAAACAAGCTATGTAGGTTACCATTTTTGAAAAATGATAATAAATAAAGCTAAACCAGAGACACAAATAAAATGCCATAAAGGATCATGAAAATGCTGGTGAAGGGATATACACACACATTGAGCCTCCCATATTGGAAATTTAAAACATAACATCTGTAGCATCTTCATAATGAGGAAAAATGCAATTTTTATGGCATAAAAATAATAAAAAAGAAGTGGGGTGAATACCTGGGTCTGGAAAAAGAAAATGTTCTTTTGTGTGGTTTGAGGAATCAAATGCCCACGATCTTGAATACGATGAAGCAGAGGAAACCCAGAAAAATCAAGAGGAAAAGGTAATCAACGAAGACAAAGAATCTGGTCGACCCATGATTCCTTTTCTTCTTGATTTTGGCTACGGAATCATCCATTTCTTCGAGCTTCGCCATTGGTTCGAATTGCAGCGTAAGTCCTGAGAGAGAGAGCTATGGAAGATCTTCGTAAGAATCGGACATTCTGAAATATTTTGGGCCTAAAGCCCAACCCATTATTGGATTTTGGGCCTATTGTATCTTTCTTTCTCTTTTCTGTCAACCTTGTTCACAGATCTCATCCGCCTGAATTATTTTGAAATTGGTAACGTTTTGACTTCCACATCTGCTCTTATTCTAACTTTTAAAAATGGGTCTCGTCCCATCAAAATAATCTTGGGGAGGGACATAAGTACCGTAATTCTTGGACTCGCATCCGAACTCTGGATTAGTCCCGTAGGCGGCTCAAAGAGTCGAACCCGTGAGAATACCAGGAGGTTCTGATTCGCCTCAAAGAGATAATTAGGATCAGTTTCAAAAAAAAAAAAAAATGGTGTTCCGGGTTTGCTTACCCGGGAATGGGTCACCCCGAACCCGGAAGGTCTTTGCTCGGGTTATGGGTTGGTTACTCCCCTTATGGACATTGGAGGTGGGTCCTACCATGATGACACGATAATACCCTTATCCTCATCCACGTCCAAGATAACCACCTCTTATCCACGATCAGTGCAATTGCCCAAACTAGAAGTATATATACAGAGGGTGACACCCTAGGAAATGCATTCAGAATCCAAACAAACCTATATTGATGTTCATCCAGAACAAATGGGTCTCGATTTTCTCTCATCGTTGAAGATAAAATATTTTATTATAGACTCAAGGTGTGATGAGACACACAACTATAAAAAAAAGATGTGGCACTAAAATAGAAGAGTGACAAAGAGTAAAAACAACTCTCCAGTAACAACAGAAGAGTTGTTTTCCCCTTTGAAAATTGTTCTCTCTTCTTTATTTTGTTGTGCGCTTGTTTGTTTTTAAGATTTCGAATTCGATTTTGTTAAATGATTTAGTTAATTTCTATTGTCAATTTATAAATGATTGTCAATTTATCAATATAAACTTTATTTTATTGAGTTCTTTTAGACTAATATATATTAGATTAGATATTACGACTCAAACATGATTGTCACCCGTTTAGGAGACCTGTGATTTATAATAATAATAATAATAATAATAATAATAAATCATCTAATAATTACATGCAAAATAATGGAGATTCAAACTACCAATTCAAATGTTATATCTATAACAATCAATTCAAACAAAAAACTGTCATTTTGAAGGTTATTAAATTTACGTTCCATTCATAAAATTTTTTCGCAACTTTTAAAAAATTGTAAAAGTAATCTTCACCTTTTAAAAGTCTTTCACCATGAAGTCATTGCATAGACAATTTTGCATTTGATGGATATTTTAGAATAGATGAAAATTATATAAATTCATTACATTTATTTTTTAATTCAAAAGAAAATGGGCCAATTCAAAAAAAATCAGAAAATCAGAAAATTATAATGTTCAACTACAATAGTAATCAATAATGTAAATCCATAAGATTACCAAAAAAAAAAAAAATCCATAACTAACACAATTGCATTCAATTATAAAAATAAAAAAACCACAACAGTAATAATTATTATTGTATCATTTTATACATGTGAATCATGGTCTTAATTCACAAGTTCATGCATCAAATTATTGAATTCTGCATTTTATCATATATAGAATATGGGTTTTATAAGAGTTATGTTGTAGGAAAAGTGATTCTGTAATGTTATAGAGATTCGTTTTGCGTGTCGTAGTTTTTTTTTGTTTCAAAAAGTGTGGGTCCTACAAAATGTTGTGTGTGTAAGAAACTTTATTGTGTCATGTTAAATGATAAATGCAAACCCCATAGAATATTGTAACTATTATTGTATGACATTTAGTTATACTAAAATAATAATAACTGACATAATGCATTAACTGTCTTTTCAAATCTTATTTATGTGGTTTTTTTTAAATCATTAATATATGTATGAAGAAATTGCATAACAATTAAATTAAAATACAAAACACATACCATCATGGGAATCGACCACACGCTTCGTACATGGAAGACAATTGTTGCTCAAACCAACCAGCCATATGATAAACATTATTCATGCAAAAATTCAAATCCATGTTCAAAACATACAACTGTTTAATCTCAAATTGAAATGTAAACAAATGGTCATTAGAAACAAAGAAAACCAATGATAATAGACTTTGATATTATTACAAACTATATATGAATCTCATCTATAACTATAAACAAAAGTCATAATTGCAATAAATCATATACGGTCAAAAGTCACAAACATAGGTTATATATGGGCAATCACAACATGCAATTTGAGTCGAATTAAAAAAATTATTTTTCCATCAAGAAAATATATTTTTATAAACACAAATAGAACACCCCATTTTAAATTTTACAACAAATAAAACTTATTAACATCACATCCAATTTGAGCATGAGTAATATAATAACCTGAACCATTAAATTGAATAATTGGAAATTTTCTATAATTAAGGGAAGTTAATTAGATTGGAAATCTAATTATCTTAGCAGGTTGTTCTCGAAGCAGGAACGATATTAGGTAAGTTGTTCCTGGAGTGGGAACGACTTTCAACAAGTTGTTCCTGGGGTAGGAACAACTTTTAGCAAGTTGTTCCGAAAGATGGAATGATGTTTCCATGGTGGAAATGATATTCCAGGATTGGAAACATCGTAAGTTACTTTTCGGGGCAAAAGTACAAATAGTAAGAGTTTTGAGATAAAAAAGCAATTAAACAAAAGTTACCTAAAATTTGGGAATAATGTAGCGAGGAACAATTAAATCATTTTGGTGAATGTTAAAATTATGATCAGATGACTAGATCATGAATTAAAAGAGAATTAGGATGAATGGCTAAGTATGTAATTAGCCAAAATTAGATATTTTGAAGAAGTAACTAAAGTCAAAGATGACCATTTAGTTTTTAAGGGTGCTTAAGGCTTAAGTCACTTAGGGTGTGTATGACAACCATTTTATTCCCTGGCACTGTTTCTGAAAAGAAATAATATTTTTCCATTTCTATGCCTTGGAACAGTTTCTGAGAAAAAAATATATTTGATAACATGTTTTATTTTTATTCCGAGAATGAGAATTGCGTTTGATAACAGAATAAATAATAGAATAAAAAATCATTCCTATTAAGCATAAATTTTTTTGGATCATCACTATCATTTTCATATGGTGTGGTGGTGGTGGTTATAGCATGGTGGCAACGACGGTGGTGGCGACGGCGGTAGTGGTGGATCATCACTTTCATTTTCATATCATTGTGGCGATGATAGCGGTGGTGACAGCAGATGTTGTAGTGATGGTGGTGGTGGAGCGGTGGTAGTGGTGATGGTGGTGGTAATGATGATGGTAGTGGTGGTGAAGATGGTGGCATGGTGGTAGTGATGGTGGAGGTGGTGGCACAATGACGACGACGACGATGGTGGCGGTGGTCGTGCCGAAATGTGATGGTGGTGGTGATGATGGTAGTGGTGGAGAGTGATTGACATAGACAAGTGTTTCTCATTTTCTACCCGGGAACAAAAAAACACAATTTTTTTTTCTTTTTTTTTTCTCCAATACAGAAATTGAACCAGTTCATTCTCGGGAACAAAAAAAAAACTGATTTTGTCAAATACTGTTTCTAACTATTTCTGTTCCCGGGAACAAAAATTGAAAAAAAATTGATTCTGGGAAGGTTGTTGTGCACACCCTTAAAAGCCTATTCACTAGATATTTTCTCCATTTTCTCTTCATTTTTCTCGTTGAAAAATAACCCAAAATAGTGAACTCCATTTGAGAGAAAGTTTGAAACCTAGTTTGAGTTCTAGTGGATGAAATCCAAAAGTTTCAACACCAAAAGTGCTTAGAACCTTACCAAGAACAAAACATCAACTAGTTTCCCTTGAGAGATCTTGCAAAGAATGATCTTCTCTTCCTAAAGCTTAAGGAAAATCTTAAAGTTTTGGAGTTTGAAGAGGGTTTCAACCTATTAAAGCTTGGAAAGTCTTTCCCTCTTCATCCTAGACCGATTTTTGGTAAGAAATCTACACTCATTTCAAGCTTTCATGAAGTTTTGAAGATTTGAGATTCTTGATGAATATAACTCATGAATAGTGATTTTGGGTTTTAGATGGATTTTGATTATGTGTTTGGTGTTGTTTGATGTTATAGTGTTGAGTTAATCAAACTTTAGCCATTAGAAAGTTTTGGATGGTGATGGAACCACAATTGAAAATGTGGCACCATCCTTGAGTCTTGACATTGGAGGAGGTTTTGGTTTCCTTGGAAGCTTGAAAGGCGTTCTCTTTGTGACTAAATGATTTCATGGTAAGAAAGCCTAAACTTCCTTAAGTTTTATGAATATTTGATTATTTAGGTTTCTTGAGAAAGTACGGAATATATTGATATTTAGGACTTGAAATGGGATGTGTATCCTTTGTAAAAGATATCAAGTAGTTGAAATAATTGGCGAGAAGGTGATTAAACCACCATTTTGGTCACTTTTATGTGTAGGCCAAAAATATGCATGAATAAAGTGTTAAATTTCATGTAATTGTAAGATTTGGAATTGTCATTTGATGTTTGATTATTTGTTGTTGGTTGTATAACTTGAAGCAAAGTGATTGTTTGATGGAAGGACAAACATGGGCCTAGGTGTTTGGTGGAGACCTTTGGTTCTTGAGAAATCAAGAATTAGGTGAGTTCTTGAGCATGTGTTCATGGGTGTTGTTGTTGATTAAATAGCCATTACGATAATGGTTATTATGGAATGCATATTATTGATGATGTACATGACCTTTGTATAGGTAGCTTTATGTGTAAAGTTTAATTAGTTGACTTACTTGTGGGATAAGAAAGCTTGGCAAGAAAGAAGTTTGCTTAAGATAAACTTCTGGACTTTGGGGTTAATCTTCTTGTGTATTTCACTATGCTCCGTTGGGAGGAATGGTTGGATGATGTGATTTATGATAATGGTTGTAATAGTATGCTCATTAATTGGTTGGATATGATATCTATATGTATGGTATGCTATGCGTACTTATGTCTCTTGTTAGTAGATTATGGTGATTGTAAACCTTCCATGGGAATGGTAAAATGACCTTCACGAGTGGGTATGGTTGTGTGACCTCTATTAGTGGATATGGTAATATAACCTCCATGAGTTGGTGTGTGGCATCCCCATGGGTATGGTATTATGACCTCCATAAGGGAGTATTGGATAATGGTATGATGGATGATTTACTATTCTGTTATTATTATATATACATATTAAGAGAACCATTGGGTGAAGTGTCCTAAAAGAACCCTTGGTTTACTAAGATTATTATCTCACCCCGTGTGGGGACCATATTTCAGGTGCTAATATGGGTGGTGTTAGAGCATAATGTGGAAGGAGGCCAAGATAGAGTCAAATTACATGGCATGAGACTTTTGACGAATATGACATGATTATGTATTTTGACAGCATATATGGTACTTTTGCATTTGTTGTATAGGCCTATGTATATTTGTTTAAAAAAATATGTATACGGTTTAGAGTAAAGTACCTTTTGGGTTCTCAACAAATATCACGGGCCAAATTTAATCCCTTAAAAAAAGTCGACTAGTGGTTCCTCTGAAATTCAAAATAATCCTATATTAGTCCTTTTGAAGGACTAACATGGGTCTTTTTTGAATTTCAGAGGAACCACAAGTTGATTTTTTTTCTAAGGGATTAAAATGGGCCTAGTGATTTTTGTTGAAGACACAAAAGACACTTTACTCTATGGTTTATATGTTGTAAACACTTCAATGCCATGGCACATTGATGTAATGATGTAAATACTTATGTTGATATATTAATTGAGGCATGACATGTATGAAAGAGCATAAGCAATAGATTGCTAAGCAATATGATTTATGTCATATGAAATTGTATGAATCCTATGGATTTTAATGTTAAATCAGGCGTCTAATGAGTATGGAAGGTTCCAACACTGTAAGTGTAGCCAAGTGATGTCAGTTTTAGTGCTGTTAAGTATGGTCGACTTAGAACGTCGATAACTTGCTCAGTTCTTAACGAAATGGGGCATATTATATATCATTTTAAAGGCTTAGGAGTCTAGTTTTCTTCTCTTCAAGTTTGAGAATTTTCTGGGCAGAACAACGTTCCTAGTTCGAGTTGGAACTAGAGCTGCTAGAAAGAAAAAATGTCAAGATTGAAGAGTTATTCTGCTAGCAGGGGACGGGAACGACTTCTGTTTAAGGGACGAAAATGCCTTCTGTTCAGGGAATGTGAACGACCCATGGGAATGACACATGGGAACGTATCATGTATGAGTACAAATTAACCCTAGCACAGTAAAACGTGCATAACATGAGCTACGGAGCTCCAAATTGAGTGAAGTTTTGATCTATGTGAAGCTAACACATATGGGTATAACCCTGTAAAATATTAGGAACATTGGGTAAGTTGATCATTCCCATTTTAATTTTGAGTTTGCCAAACTATTTTCCAGAATCCAGGTTTGAAAAAGTTTGCTTGCGACAGACATATCTTGAGTTGTACAAATCCAATTGAGGCTTATAATACGCTATTGGAAAAATCAAGATGTCTAGTTTAACATTGTAAAATAAGGTAATTTATAATGATGGATGTCAGTCTCAGTTTCATGAAATGTAAAGTTTGTTCAGTGTTAAATGGACAATGATGGTATTTCAAAGGGATGAGTACTGAGGATAGTTGTGTCTCATAAATTAACAATGTGAGGGCACTAGTTAATCATGTTTAAGATAATTTAATGTGTAATTAGCTCAGGTATAAAAAGGAAAAAATTTATACATAATTCTGCATTCAATACTCTGATCACTGTTACGGTTAATATCATATGTGATGTTAACATACCGGCATACAACAGGGTGTTACAAGTAGATTATTTGATGAGTGTAGAAAATATTCACGAACAACAAAAGTAGAACTAAAATAAATTTAATTGATAAAAAAATCTTTAGCAAATTTTATTGCAAATTTTCTTCTTTAACAAAAGTACAACAAAATTGCTCTTTAACCACGGCAAAAACTGTGGCAAAATATGATAAAAACCGTGGCTAAATAAGTTGTCCACTGTTTCAAAAACCGTGGCTAAAATGGGCGTTGCATTATTTTAACCACGGTCTTTATTGCATCTAAGCACGGGTTGTATGAACGTGGTAACATTGATTTAACCACGGTTTATGTTATATTAGCCACGTTATTTTCGTGGCTAAACAATTTGAATCCCAATGATGAAAATTTTTATTTTGCCACAGACAGAACCGTGGCTAATTATAAGGTTTTTTTAAGAAAATAAAAAATATTACAAATTTTCCCAATCATATAAAAAGCAAATAATAAAAATTGCATTTGATACAAGAACCAAAAACCAAATTAAGGGAGATAATCAAATAAAATGGAGTACACAATTTAACACAATACATTTTTTTTTCTATTCATATGAGTAAATCATGTTTTTTACACAATTTCTCAAAATTCATACATTTTGCATATCTATTTTTTTCCATTTCACAATTTAACACAACACATCTTTAAATCTGTCTTCCAAGAATTGTTGTATGTATCTTATCTTTTTAAAAGGGCTTATCACCAAATCATACCTGTATAAAAAAAATTTAAATAAGTTATGCTAAAATGTCACATAATTTTTCAATTTCAAGAAATTATTACCTTTTAACTTTTAGATAAAATATGAACATACCTGGAGGGTTATTCCTGGAATAGAAAACCAGAGACCCAGTATGAGTTTTAGGCAACGAGATGACATGATGTTGCTTGCAATCCAACAGTAAATCATAAATTAAACCAAAGTCTTTTAGCCCAATAGTTATAAACCAGAGCATTACCTCCCATTTTCAGCGTACCTCCCATTTTCAGTGTACCTCCCGTTTTCAGCATGTCTCCTCCTACCTGAATCTTCATGCCATAAAACAGGTTCAGGTTTTAGAGTCCCAATTGTCACAGTCTGCACAGAAAAGAAGATAATTTTATTTTCCCACAAAACACAAGCAGCAGCATGCTACATTAAACAGACTAAAATCCTACTGTAGAAAAAATCCTACATTAAACATTGAATTGCTTTTCATTATATTGATCACATTCTATCAATCAAATAAAAAATCGTTATAACTATTATAATCAATAATAATAAAACAATCAATGTATCCAAAATAAAATAATATTAAATCAATCAATTTTTCATTAACATGAATAGAATAAGAATGTCGTATCCGTTAACTTTGGCTCCAACAATAATATAATGCTTTTAAGATTGATAAAAATACAAAATAACTTTGATTTTTGAAAAAAAATTATTTTTAAGAAAAAAAATGCATATCTGCGTATATTTTAAGATTAAGTCAATCAAATGCACTAATGGATATCTTCGTGAGCTAGAGTTTCCTTAGATGTTTTTACTCGAGCAGCTGTATATACATTTACTTGGTAACCAAATTTCTACACAGCAAGTAAACAGAAAAGAACCTGATATATAATAGCCTATGTAGGATTTCAAAGGCGTGAGGTATTTAATTCATTTTTTTTAATAATTATTTTTTTTAATTAAAATAAATAATACAATATATGCTAACTCAAGTTCGACCTGACATAGGTTAGTCCGTGAGCTCCTGGTAATCTATGTGACCGAATTACATCCCTAATTTCCTAATTTTAATAGCGTACCCTTTATATTAGCCTATTATATTTAAGAGAAAAACGTTGATTCAATGTATAAACCCAATTTTTTCTTTTTTTTTTGGTTGAAAACAAAAGTTTAGAAAAGACAAGTTTTCCCGTTCCAAGAAAGAGAATATATAAGGTGGAGATCACGCTGTCTTAACTATTGCACGATTAAGTTATTTATTATTTTAGTTTTTATGTAAAGTTTCAAAGTTTTCAATTTTAACAAAATTTCAGTTTCAATGAAAAATCCAAGACAGCTATGAGCCAACAACTGGAAACAAAAAAAAAACAAAAGCAAAAACAAAAATGAACTATAAAATAATAATATAAAGGAACAAACCAAATTCGATTTGAAAAATGAAACTTTAATTTAATTCCTGTGTCTTATCAAAGTGTCAACCATATTCCAGTTAGACGGTTACTCTTCTCATTCATTCATTCTTCTCATGGTCTTTCGCTCTTCAGCTAATATAAATACTGAGAAGTAGCGAAACGTTTTCCATTCATTTTTATCAAACTCACTCTCAGTCACAACAACACACGTAGATCATTGAATAATTTGGTGCACCCAAATACCACATATATAGCAGAAAAGTTTAACTATTTTTTTTATCATCATATACTAGTATTTCAAAGAATAATATATATATATATATATATATATATATATATATATATATATATATATATATATGTATAGGAGGATTAGAAATTCGTACCTTGTGATTTTCACAATTATAGATGTGCAGCCAAGTGAAGTTGTAATCTAACTAAATTACACAACATTATCCAAAACTAAGTTCTTACTAAAAAAATGTAGTTTTCTTAGCATGTGCACGTACAAAGAGTCGTACTCTTAATTTTTCTTATTACCTACTGCACTCGATTTTATCACAGAGCATGCTCAGTTATAAAATACAATTGAGGACAGACAGCAGTAATGTGACTCATTCAGCTACAAGCACACATAGTAGACAGAAGAACTTGATTCTTATCATATTTCAGTTTAGCTTGTATACACACATCCCTTAAGTTTATACCTGGCTCATCCCACCGAGTTTTCACACAATGGTAACTCATGCTAAAAAACTAATATCCAACCAAGGGAAAAAGATAAACACTCGTGACAAAGCAGTCTAACAGTCAAGAGGTTAATACAATATTCTAATTACTGATATCATTGGTATCATCCTTGATCGCTTATAATATTAGTGCGATCTTCAGGAGTGAGTTTGGCAATTTAATTAAAATTATTAGATAAGAATTGGATCATCTATAATCTATTTAAGTAACAGGCATTTAGATATAATACATATCAATGGTAGGATTTATTTGAAAATTCACATACCTATCTCCATCCAGCTAAGCAACCAGCATTGCATCCACACCAATCACTTGATTGCTATCTCTGAAACCATGGTGGGAGTGGTCAATTAGGAAGTGGGGTTGTTCAATACATTGCATTTCGTTAATTTGTGTCAAAATTGAAATGGGTTTGCGGCTTTTTGTTATTATTGTGGATATGCATCCCTTTGGTTCAAATCAAAGCTAGCGCGTCAGAGACAGAGCATCACATTATGATGATGCATTGAAATTGTGCAAAATGCATGGGATGGCAGATAAGTGTAAAAAGGAAGAATATATCATATGCAATTTTAAAGCATAAGATTTAGAACAATTTTAAAAGCTGAAGGTGAAAGAACAACCTTGATATTGCTCTCCTTAGAAGATAACTAAAAACTGTAGATTTCCTGTGCAGATATGATGAAACCAACTTCTTTTGCAACACAAATTCACAGGATCAATATAAACATTGAAACAACAAAAACAATGGTAGAGAAAAAAGAAAACAATTGAAACAATTATCCACTAAAATTCACATGATTAAAATTATCAAAACATATAAACATGTTTAGATAAAAACAAAAACAGAACAACAAAAACAATGGTAGAGAAAAAAGAGCAACAATCTAATTACTGAAACAACAGATTGCATATCAATCACCTGACCTCATCAACAGTTTTTCTCCACGATCTACCTAATTTATGAAAAAGTAATGCCTGTACATGAGGAAGCCACATTAGCAGCCTTATTTTGAAAGAAAACAAAAAGAGAAGAAAGCACGGCCAAAAAAATGAAAAGTATTATTAGAAGGTATCGTGTGACAATACCATTTTGAAAAGCATTCATTAAATAGAAGTCATAATACCTGAGCAAAAAACATCTGACTGCTTCGAAGCATACAACCCCAATTAACATCACTAGTATACTTTGAATCTCCAATAGCACCAAAGCCTATAGATAAGAATGTATATTAAAAAAATTGTATTCTAATATCTATCATATGAATATATCCCAAAAAAGGTAGTATAAATTCAACAAACCTTTCCTATACGTTATTAGGATTTTTGAGGAAAAATCTTGCTCAAATGCTGCAAACACATTACTAGTATCTACTACAGTAGAATCTTGCTGTGAAACTTTATGGCAGATGCCTAGAAACCATATATCACCATCAGAGCTCGAAATGTCAGTCCTGCTCGACCCTAGTATACGCTCATGAATTTTCCTCATTGAGCCACCAGTAACAACTTTCCTCAGAGCAGCTGCCCACCCGATATTTCGAGAATGAACTGCTTTCTTTTCAGAAGCCGATGATTCACTATATGTTTCAACGAATGGAAAACCAGATGTAAAGAAGCTTGACCATAAGGTAGCCTTGGGAAACTTACTGTCACTAGAACCTGCTTTCGAACAAGCAGGCACCCGAGGAATATTATCTACAGTCACAAATTTCCTTCTTCCTTATTTAATCCTAATAATTTTAAAGTCATGACATTCTTTACCATTGAAACAATTGATCAAGCACGTGGCACACAAACCAATATCACCCAGAATTTTCTAATACACACAAATCAATAGATCCAAAATCTCCACCAAACCATACTAGTTGCACTCAAACAAGAAGGAAAAACAACAAAAACTACAAGACCATACCTTAACAAATGAACATGACGTCAAGCTAAAATCCAAAAATGATTCATTTGTGCGCAGAAAATCCTAACGAACTCGAATCGAAAGTTCAATCGAGCTTAGAAACTCAAGAACACAGTGAAAACAATGTTTCTGAAATACAAAAAAGAAAAAGAAAATAAGAAAAACAATAAATTAGTTTTAAGCTATTGTTAAAGAAACTAGCTCAGAAACTAAAAATTAACAAAAAGAAAGCAAACACTCACTTAAAATTCGTACAAATTTGACGGAAAAATATATGGAAGAAGAAAAACTAAGATTCAGGGGTGAAATTCAAAATTCAAATGGAAATGGGATTACGAGCAGAAGCTAGTGGAGGAACAGAAGAAGAATCGAACAACATTTCAGGAAAAGAGAGCGGAACCTGGAGGAAAAATCACAGCAATAATCGCATCTCAGAAAAAGAAAGAGCAAGAGAGAGAAAGAGAAAAAGAGAAATAAGGTTTTCGGTGAAGAGGAAAGAAACGATTCTAACGTGTGCCCGTGCTATTTTTTTATTTTGGAAAGAGCTCCTGTTTTTCTTAACTTCGCTCACGTGGCTAATATATATCGGTCACCACATTAGTCATTAGTAAATTGCAACGTAATTTAGGCATTACTAAATTGTCATGGTAAAATGTTATTTTTGGTGTAGTAAATTGCAACGTAATTTAAGTATAATTTAGAAAAATACATATATATATGGACAAATGTGGTTACGTTTTTTGTATGAATTATGCATTAAACTAGTAGTTGGAAATTGCATTAAAATAATTTATAATAATTGATAACATTCCTGAAGTATGTTTATATATAGTTAAACATAACTTTTGATAAAATAAAGTTATATATAGTAAAAGAACCAAAACTAAATGAATATTTTTTCGTATTTTATTGACATGTTCAATTCTACAAAAGACAAATAGGATAGTAGATAAATCTAAATTTTAGTAGAATAAAATAATTATATTTCTAAGCATAATAAAGTATAAATCAATACCTATATTCCTATAATATATTATCAACATTTGCAAGCTAATGTTCTAGAAAAGTAACATAAAATAATAAAATAATAAAATAATATCCATAATATATATATTTTTCTAAATTATACTTAAACGAAAATATCTTTCTATGCACAATTAAAAAGGAATATTTTTATGAATTTCAAGAACTATATTCCACAAAGCTTTACATGCTTATAACTTTAATTTTAGGTTAAAATGTTTCTATAAACCATTTGAAGGACAAAACTAATGATTCATAATTGAATGCAAAAGGGATCGAAGAACACAGGAACATAAACAGGATTTTGAAAATTCATGATTTTACTTACATGACTTAAGGAATCGGGTTACTAATCTTTTTCCATAGCCGTTAAGATGATTCTTGAGTGTAGAAAACCTTGCTTTGCAAAAAACCATTTGTAGCTTTGAGGAAAACCATTTGTCAATCTCTTCGTCTTTTTGTGTATACTCTCAACGTCTATAATTCAATTAAAATTGTGCAAATAACGTGTTATGAAACTAAATGATAACTATAATATATATAGACAAAAGAGAGAAAAAAAGAAAAAGAAGAGAAAATTAGGACAAGATAAGAGAGGAATAATTTTTCATTGCATTGTCCTTACTCTTGTACATGTCTTGGATTTATAAGCTCTGAAAACATTGTAAGTTACAATTAAAAAGAATTCATTATTTATGTTACTGAAAAAAAAGAATTGATTATTTTGAGAAGTTACAATTTAAAATAATGTATCTGGAATTATGGGCATCCCAACAATCGCATTATTATTATTATTATTTTGGATACAAGAATCCTATCATATTATTTATAACATCGATAGGTTTCACTTAATAGAATATGTATTTCTTTTATTGATGAATAGTTATTTATTCCAAATGAGTAATTCGTTATTATACATAAAATTGTATATTATATCATTCAGATTATTAGAATCACCAAATACGTAGATCAATTGATAAGAAGTTGTTATAACTTAATTAATGGTCTCTAAATTGAGTTTGGAATATAGTTATATTAAAATTTGATAGAAAAATTTTTGTTATCGATATGATTCTACTCAACTTGAATTAGACTAATCGAATAATTCATGAGTTGATAGATAATATTAAAAAAACCAAAAACAATGCTCCCATACGAGATGAGAATATGGGAACCGGAAAAGAAAAAATTTGGGACCTTTCGGATAACAAGCTCGCTCAGAACCCAAGTCTCACTTTGCCGTTTAAAAAACGACAGACTTCCAACAACACGTGAAATGCATCACCGACTGAACGCACTTTATTACTGTCAGTACCATCCCTTAAAATCCAGATCCTGCTTTTACATACCTTCCCCAAAACCATGTTCGATTGACAATACAATATTTTCACTCTTCATTTTTTTCTACTATCACTTTATTATCACTTTAATTACCATTAGATTCAAAAAAAAAATTTTTTGGCTATCTTTATTCAACTTTTTCCTTAACCTAATGGTGATTAAAGTGGTAGTGAAATAATAGTAGATAAAATGAGTAGTGAGAATATCTTAACTTAACAATATATGATATAATTAGGGGTGTTCGCGGTCTGGATTGTATCGATTTTGGAGCAAAACTCATCTGATCCAATCCCTTCGGTTTGATCATGTAATCATCCATTCAGTTTAGATTTTTTTTCAAATCCGATCCGATCCAATCCAATTTTTTTCGGTTTGGATTGGATCGGTTTTCGGTTTTTTTAATATCCTAAAATTAGTTTCATGATTATTGTGCAAATAACATATTTTGTATATATTGATTTTGTAAAAAAAAAAAATTGAAATACAAAAATATCAGTAAACAATACTATAGTTGATGAGAAGTGACTAAGTTTTTTCTTGGGTTTAGTTGACAAGTTAATGCGTCTTGAGTTTAGAAATTTTTGAGCTATGATTGGAGAAAGGACAAGTAGGTAGATGATAATTAATATATTGGATCGGTTTGGATTGGATCGATTTTCATCAACCCATCCGAAATCCGATCCAATCCAATTAAAATTTGTGGTTTTTTTTCGGTTTTCAATTTTTCGATTTTCGGTTTATTCGGTTATCGGTTTTTCGGTTCGATTTTTGTGGTTTGAATCGGTTTGAATCGGTTGATGAACACCCCTAGATATAATGGAACGATTGTTTTCATGGCATCTTATTGGAATTATTTTCTCACTTCATTTATTAACGATTGGTCCGTCCCTTTCCCTGAATGTGGGAAAGTTGTCATCATTAATTTGTGGCCATTACCTTGTAATTCTCATGTACGAAGGAGAATTGAAATCTTATGTTGTAAAGATAAAAAGAATGTGCGATCCATGTGTTAGAAAAAATTATATGTAGGACTAGGAGTGTTAAAACGGATTGACACGACACGAATACATCAATATTAACACGACACAAATTTTTATTCGTGTCAAAATCTTCAACATTGACACAACACGAATAACACGCAAAATAGGAGTCAAAACGATAATTGTCAAAAAATTTAAAAAAATGGATCGAAATTAAAAAAAAATAATAAAATTAAAAATAAAATAATTTAAAAAAAATATGGGTCGACACGAACACGAATACATCAACACGAACACGACACAAATTTTTTACGTGTCATTTTTTCCAACACGAACACGACATGAATTTTTTTGCGGGTCAACCCAAACACGAATTTTCGTGTCGTGTCGCGGGTCGACCCGCGTGTCAAAACCTATATTGACACCCCTAGGTAGGACCCATGTCAGCACATAAATCGAAAGGTGTGTAGGAAAATTGTAATTCCCATGTTAAATGAGAATTATAAAACCCTTACCTTATTCCATTTAATAATTGGGTTAATATTTTCTCATTTTACATGAGAAAAGATTCTCATGTTACACATATAATTAAAAAGTGAATCCCATTTTTATTTTTTTGTCTTTTCACTTTTTTGTGAGCCCCACTTATATATTAAGTGTGTAGGATGAAAAAAAAATTTCATGAGAAAGTTAATCCCCTTAGTAATTTTATCTGGCTGCGGAGGAACTTTCTCTTTCATTCAAAAATTTATGGTCTAGGGAATATGAACGTGGAGTTTTGTAGTTAAACTGCGTTGCTTGGATGAGCTTAATTAGACGAGCTTGTTTGGACAAATTAATGACTCCATATTCAACTGTTCCAATAGTAAAGCGTTTTCTTGACAAGATTGATGTCGGGCAGCCAATCATGTTATGAACAAATGCATCTTCGAGCAACCAATCATATTATTACCGAATAACTTAAAAACTCAAGGTTGAACCAGTTCAAAATCAATAGAATTTAATGGTGAAAAATCAATTTGAACTCGTTTTTTATTCAACTAAAAATATTTTTTGAGACAAATTAACAAAGGGTTATATATAAATTATTATTTTTTAACATTTTATTATCAATTTTTTATCTTGATATATCTATTTTTGAAATCTGGTAAAAAAATGTAATTTTAATTCACATTTTTAAAGTCTAACTAGACTTGAGGTAGAATAAGGATTTTATAAGTAAATTTAAATTTCATGAATATATAACTATGAGAATAATGTGTGTCATTTTAAAGGATATAAAGTTGTGTTATTTTAAGTGAGAGAAAGAGATAAATCATGGGGGAGAGAGAGTGAACAAAAAAAAAATGTGGGTCTCACATCTTTAAGAGAGTAAAATGACACAATTTATGTCGTTTAACAGGACAAACATTTTTCCATATAACTATTTACAAAGTAGTATATATATCTTAATTAAGTATACAGGTAAATCATAATAAAAAATTAAAATAGTTCTAATATGATCAAAGTGCACCATGACATATTATAAAAGTACAATAAATATATCTTACACTATATAAATATCTTTACATCTATCCTATCTATTAAATAAGGGAATTTGTTTATAAATACCTCTTAATATTAAAAATAAAACATAATATAATAAATTTATTAAAATTTCAAAAGGACTAAGTAACTCAGTTGACGTAGTGGGTAAAAGTGCTCTAACAATTTTAATAGGAACCATATTTAGCAACAAACATCCTCGATCGTATTAGTCGTAGCTGGAGTTCGAATATAGCTTCAGAGCATACCATTTTATGGTTGACACAGATTTACTGGTCGATAGTCTAATTTTTAAAATTACAATATTTTTATATTATTTGTATTACATTATTTTTATGTTTTTTATAATAAAATATGATAAACACACTTTATAATATGTATAACTTTTCTGATACAAGTAAGTGTAATAAAAAGTTAAAAAAGTAATGTACAATAATAATTAATTGGGTTTGGTATTTGTCATTTTAAATGACATAAATTTTTTTTTTTTGTGTCTGTCTCTCTCTTAAAATGACATAACTTTATGTCATTTAAAATGATAAACACTTTTCCCTAATTATATAACTAAACAAACCAGTTAATTTTCTAACTCCTTCATATTCAAGTTACATCTAACCCTCCCAATAAAAAATTTGCCTGCATTCATTAATTGTAAAATTATGCTACGTACATACACGCAATTATACAATCATCACTTTACCTATTTTCACTAAATTAAAATTTTAATTTTCCACATTCTTTGACCAAAGGAATGAAAGATATAAGTAATTTTCGAAAATCAAATTGGTTAGATAATAAATATAAATTAAAAAAACTAAAATATAATAAAATAGAAATGTGGGATTTCATGATATCATATATAATCCACTTCATTAGAATGCTCGTTTGTGTACCATGTTCAAATCATACGCTTCATAACTTTACACATATAAAACATCAAATATGGTGTTAGTCATAGTCATAATTATATATAAGGTTCTCAATGAATCATCGCATGTTAGAATAGTACATTAGTATTATAGTAGTGTTGCTTACACACTTACTTGGTCATATATATTGAAAGAAATTAAACCAGCACAAAAATTTGAAACTCTGAAAGAAAATAAATGTTCATTCATATTATTGTTGATTTGAACTATAGGCTGTGCTAAGAAACTTTTTAGTGGTGCATGTGTTAAGAATTTTGAGGAGGTCATGGTTATTAGTGCACCTAGGGGTCTTGAATTGGCTCAATGCTGCCCCATTTGCTATGAAGTTGTCCAAAATTTTCTTGAAAGTTCCTCTCTCCACAATGCAAAGCTCAAGGGGCCCTATTGAATTGGTTTTTCTGGACACCACATAACCTTGATCAGCAAAAGAAATGTCCATTTCTCTGCAACACTCATCAAGTACCTTGTCCTCAACCTCCCCTTTGATCTCCCAGTAAATTACATAGTGCCCTGGTTGGTTTGTGACATCTGCATAGCTAGTGAAATCAACTAGCTCAGTTTTGGCCTTATTCAGAAGCTGAGAACCCTTCTCTACCACAAATTGAAGGTCCTTCTCTGTATTCTTATCTATATTTACTGTCAGAATTAGCTTTCTTCTGCATACAAAATTCAATTTTGGGGTCCCATTATGAAAGCCAGCCACTTCCACCACATCTCCTAATCTGTACCTATACAGCCCTGAAAGTTTAAAATAAAAAATTTACTATTATATTATTTTCAAGTCGCTCCCATAATATAGTAAAAACAAAATAAAATGTCTATATTTGAAATATATGATTACAGACTACAGTAGTTACCAATTTTGAAATGATAATTACGGAACATGCCATGCAAATCTTGTCAGAAAAGATAGAAATGATAGGTACATAACATCAATGAAAGTAACCTAATGTGACCAAGTCAGAACAAGACACAGTAACTAACAGCATATAAAACGTGGATTGTCTGTGGTCTGCACACACATAACTAGGCCAAATTATGACCACAATCAGAAAGAAGTTAAGTTACTCTCAATTATTGTTGATGCCCATTATTAGTATGCATTTAAATCATATATCCACGTATTGAATATCACAGTAACAACTTCCCTATTCAGCCAAGATATTTTACCATATGCAACTACCTACTACACATGTCCATGTTAATGTAAAACTACGATTGTAGCTTGCATATGACACATGATCAAAGATTAATGCTACTTTCTTGAACCAATGTTCAACAGTAGGTGTTATTTTAGGTAGAAGTACAATGGGTCAAATCGAGCATTCTCACTAACCAACCATGAATAGTTACAGACTGGGTAGCCAAAAGCATTTATTTGGTATTTATTTGCCAAAAAAGGAAAAGTCAAAAGATACAGCTGTGGGAATCTAATTGAAGCATGTGTACACTTGAAGTAAGAAAAAAGTTCAAATATATAAATCATATATAAGACTCAGAAAAGATGAGTTGAAGAAAATGAGCATTAATATATATAGAAGAGAAAGAAATATTAATACCGGTGAAAGTTGTGAGGACTATTTCGTACTCTTGTCCAACTTTAATCTGGGATAATGGAATTGGCTTATCTTCCATGAAATCATCAGCAACTGAACTGAAATCTTGTTTATGTCTGTGAAGTGGAATGAACTCAAAGTAAGAGAAAGTGGGAACTACAGCAAATGTTCCATCCTCTGGTGGTAAACTAGGATCCACATTAAACCCTATCCAGCTCTCAGTTGAGCCATAATCAGCACTAACTAAAGGCAACCCATTTGCATAATGCCTAAGTTTTTTCAAGTATGGTTGCATAGATCCTGTCATAATGGAATAAAGGTACTTAGCATTAGGCCAAAGCTTGGGAATCAAACCAAACCAATCCACCTCTTCTAGCTCCTTGCAAGCAGCTTCTAATTTTGAAGCAAAATTTGGGTTTGGAGAGATGATGTCCAAAACAGCCCTTCTCATTTTGGTTGATTTGATTCTTGAACTCAGAGTTCCATCTCTAATGTCATTGCATATTTCCCTCCAAAGTTCTTCAAAACTACGAAAAGCTTGCACCATGCTATAGACAAAAGCTGAGGTGATAAACTCCACTTGATCAGAGAAGAAGAGGCCAAGAATGAGGTGGCAGTATGTGGATTGTTTATAATCTCCACCTGAGATTACATCTTCAGGGCTGCAAGTAAATGACTTTGTTTTGTGCTGTTTGATTTTGAATTCTTCACTTGCATAGTAATGTGTCGTGGCTGTTCCTACTGTTAAACCTCCTTTTGTTTTGAACCTATTGCTGCTGTATATGAATTCAAGAATCCTTCCTCCTTCTCTTATGGGATAGACCCTGTAAACAGTGAAGTGAAGTACAAATATTTGAGTACTTCAAAATAGTTATATATGTAATAGCTATGTCATTCATGAATTGGATGAAGGAAAAGAAGGAGGTATTATTGAGAGACACACCTTGATCTATAGGCTGCTGCTAAAGTGAATATTTGAAGCGTGGTTTGTGCACTATGGCGAGTAAATGGTACAAACTTCTGCCTTCCCTCTGTGGTTCCAGAACTGCAAATTAAAACCACCACCAGAAAAGAAAAATAAAAATTATCAGAAAGTGGCACCGTATCATAAGATAAGAAAAAGAAATATTTTACCAAAAAATATAAGAAAGAGAAATAGCACATCTTCCCATAAATATAATCTAAATGCCTGAAAAGACTGCCATGGTTTATTTTTAAATGTATACAAAATACATACATATATTTATGTATATGTGTATGTATATATAATCAATAAAATCTGATAGAATAAAATGGAGAGGTTGCCATATGTGGCCTCTATCTAATGTTCTAAATTCTGATTCCTATCAATGTTAACATGACCATAAAGTTAAAAGAAAGTTCATATTGCAATGAATCTCATTTTATCCCCGGAAAAAATAAAAATGGAAGAAGTGAAAAGAAATATTATACTTAAAGGTGATGGTACCTTAAGGAAAGAGTGGTAATGGGTTGTTGAGTGATTAAAGGACTAGTGTCCCCATCTGCAATCCTTTGGATAAATGGCTCAAAATCAACATGTGAGGAAAGGGGAACCACAGAAGTGTAAAGGGATTCCAACGCACATGCGTCCATCTCTAGGATGTTGTAGTTCCCCAACCATTTCTTGAGATATTCCACACCATAGTTTTGCTTCAGAATCTGGCATAGTAACTGAGTCTGAACAGAACCGGCTTTCTGGGATACATCTTCAAACCAGCCAATGACATCATAGTCACTGTTGACATTGTCATTGTCGTTGTCATTGCCATTGCTATTACTGTTGTTGTTGCTGATGCTGAGAACCGGTTCCATTAAAGTTGGTTGGTGCAGTGGCATGAGGAAGTGGAGGACTAAAAAATAATATAGTTTGGTGGGGAAATGTGTCTAAGTGTAGCAAATAGCTAGAGAAGAACTAAAGGAGCCCACTAATGAAAATATCCCTTTATTGGTCTATGGAGTTTATATGGACCGTATTGAAATGGCTCAACAAAACCCTGATATTTGCAGGAGCTTCATCGATCGATGAATGGCACAATACAGTGGATATAGACCACAATAAATGGCATTATCATTCTAAGGAGAGAGAGAGAGAGATATTCTTTTTTTTTTTTTTGGAAAATTAGAGAGAGATATTCTTCCATAATGTGAGGATGATATATATGGGGACAACTGACTACATAACTAATGGCCAGGGACCAAACGACAGCTGATCAGTAATCTTTCCCTCCAATTTATTGCGAGCCATTATTTGAAATGGGACCATACCTCAATCTTAATTATTAGAAAATAATAATTACACTCTCATCCTTCGTGCATATTAACGGTTCACCTCACTAATAAATTAGAACGGTTTGATGTAAGTAGATCAACCATTAAAATTGAGTTGCTTAGACTTATTATGCATTGAGTCCATTTAATAATGTAGAAATCCCTGGACTCTAGGGATTCATGGGCAAATGTTGTATATAAGCATGGTGATAAACCCTTGGTTTACCATGTTTTTAGGCTTAATTATGTTTGATATATATCATGAATTCTATTGGGAAATAGGGTTTTATACTGTAAAGTCATAATAATTGAATATCTTGCTAGCATGTTATCATAATTCTTATTTTAAGAGATTTTTGACACCTATTATGGCTCTTTGGAACCAAAAGAAGACATCAAGTTAAGTTGGAGCCTCAAGGAAGCAAGATTTCAAGTGTGTACCAGCTGTAAGACGACATTTTGGCGTCTATGAATCATGTTTAAACGCTCAAGATGAAGAAAACACCAAAATCCACTGGAGGATAGCGTTTTAGCGCCCAACAGAGCGCTAAAACGCCCTGACAAACACAAGTTCCCTTCGAAGAGGGCGTTTTGGTGCCCTACAGCACGCCAAAACGCCCAGAGGCAGACAACAATACACATCAAGCACGTTTTAGCGCGAAAACAGCACGCTAAAACGTCCATACGCGGTCAAAGCAACTCCAGGAAAAGATTTGATCGAGATATGCAGCGGATTCTATAGGATACAAAGAAGAAACACATCAACCTTGATTGAGATAAGATATAACTTCAATAAGAAGATGTGGTGGAAGATCACAACAAGATTTAAAACTCAAAATCGTCAACCAATCTCCAAGATATCAAATGCAAAAAGGAAACAAAGATGAAATCAACCACAAATATGATATGGATTCATTGGAGATTTAATGAAGAATACAACCCCAAAAAATAATAAATAAAGAGCTTGGGGTCAAGACCAATTCACATACAAGTCCAGAGCATTACACCAAGACTGAAGGAGGAATCCTGTTGCGGAGCGCTGGGACACTGAGGAACCAAGTCAACATCACACCAATGGAGGCTTGGGGTTCTCTTTTCTTTATTATTGTTTTTCAATTCAGTATGCTAGGCTAGTCTTTTATGTAGTTAAGGGTAGATGGAACCCAATTGAATATTTATGTTTATGAATTAAATTGTCTCTGAATCCTGTTCTTTTTATAATTGAATAAATTATCTGTCTTTAATGTTTTCTATGAGTTTGTTCCTTATAGAATGATTTTGGGGAATTGTATGACAATATGGATGTTGGTGCATGAACCCTGACTTGATAATTTATCATTATCCTTGTGATCTAGGAATAGGAATAGGAATAGACATAGGGTAATTATGCAATCTTGAAATTCTTGATCTTAATGCATGTTTTCTTGGGGAATAATCGGGGAACTAGAGTTCTTTCAAGATTACATAGATTTATGGTAACAAAGAATTGAGCTTTAATTGACTCAGATAGAATATATTAAGAAACAGATTCTTGGTCATTTAATTCATAACATATTGAGGATATTGGAGGAAGTCGAAACCTTAACTACGCTTGTTTTACATTCTTAATCATCATCTTTTTATTCATTCTTTTAATTCTGAATTTTCATAATTGCATACTTTTACTTGTTTTTAATTTTAAGTTCTTTGAACCACAACTCTCTTCATCTCAATTTTCTCAAACCAAACCTTTGATTGTCCAACTAAGACGCGATTTGCGAACTGGTGCTTGAAAATTCTAATCCTCGTGGAAACGATCTCGTATTCCGGTACACTTTATTACTTTCACGATCGGTGCACTTGCCGAGTCGCAACACACAGTCTTCAACTTTATTTAGGAGAAAAAAAGTTGTATCTCTCTTACACTTGAAAAAGGGTAATGAAATATATTTTTTTTTTTTATTACATCCGGGTATCCCCACAGCCGATAGCCATGAGACTAAACCCTCGCCCCGGGTCAGCGCACAAAGCGGTAAAGAGATTACATGACCTAATGGGCTAAGCCCAATACAACAAATAAATAAATAAATATTATTATTTACAACACTCCCCCTCAAGCTGAGGAATATATATATATATCATTCTCAGCTTGCTAGTAAGCTCTTGAAATCTGTCTGAAGGAAGTCCCTTTATCAATACATCAGCTAATTGACACCTAGTGGGAATATATGGTGTGGTAATCAACCTGCTATCGAGTTTCTCTTTGATGAAATGGCGGTCGACCTCAATATGTTTAGTCCGATCATGTTGAACTGGATTATGAGCTATACAAATAGCAGACTTATTATCACATAGCAGCTTCATAGGTCCCTCACATTTTATTTTGAGATCATCAAGTACAATTTTTAGCCACAATAACTCACAAATGCCTTGAGCCATAGCTCGAAATTCAGCCTTTGTATTTGATCTAGCAACTACATCTTGTTTCATACTTCTCCACGTCACCAAGTTACCATAAAGAAGCATACAATAACCAGTGGTGGAATGCCGATCAGTCATAGATCCAACATAATCAGCATCAGTGTAAACTTCTAAAGAGAGATCGTCATCACGCCAGAATAACAGTCCTTTACCAGGAGTGGCTTTAAGAAACCGAAGAATTTTCTCCACTGCCTGCATGTGTTTCTCCTGTAGATCGTGCATAAACTGACTGACAACACTAACAACATAAGCTAGGTCTGGTCTAGTATGAGCCAGATATATCAGTTTCCCAACTAGCCATTGATATTGTCCTTTATCAACTGGAGGACTCTCCTCTTCATAACCTATCTTGTGATTCTTCTCAATAGGAGTATTCGAGGGTTTACACCCAAGCTTTCCTGCTTTTTTGAGAAGATCAAGAACATATTTCCTCTAGTTGATAAAAATTCATTTGTTTGAATGAGCTACCTCTATCCCTAGAAAATATCTCAGTTTCCCAAGGTCTTTAACTTTAAACTCAGAGGCTAGTCGTGTTTGCAGAATATGTATCTCCACAAAATCTTACTTGTTATAATAATATCATCAACATATACAAGGAGTACAGTGAGCTTCCCATCTCTGGAGTGCTTAAAGAAAAGAGTGTGATCTCCTTGACTCTGTTTGTATCCTAAGGTCATCATAACCTTAGTAAACCTCCCAAACCATGCACGAGGTGACTTCTTTAATCCATACAAGGCTTTTCTGAATCTACAAACTTTATTTTCTCCGTTCACAGAATTAAAATCAGGCGAGATTTCCATGTAGACTTCTTCTTCTAACTCACCATTGAGGAAAGCATTCTTCACATCAAATTAATTTATATCCCAATCATAATGGGCAGCAAGGGATAACAAGACTCTCACTGTATTCATCTTTGTAACCGGAGCAAAGGTTTCTTCATAATCAATGCCATAGGTCTGAGTGTAACCTTTGACGACTAACCGAGCCTTATATCTCTCAAGAGTGCCATCAGAATTATACTTTAGGACATAAACCCATCTGCACCCTACTGCTTTCTTTCTATTGGGTCTATCAATAACATCTCATGTTCTATTTTTCTCTAACGAATTCATCTCCTCTTGCATGGCTTGAGCCCAATTCTCATCTTTCAATGCTTCATGTACTGATTTTGGGATTGAAATAGAATCTAGTGCTGAAACAAAGCTTTTGTACTGCACAGAAAGATTAGTAGAAGAAACAAAATGGGAGATAGGGTATTGAGTACAAGAAGGACAAGAGGAACAAGATTTCTTGGAACAAGATCTTTTTTCTTTTCTTAGGGCAATGGGTAAATCATCAGAATCAAAAGCAATGGGTAAATCATCAGAAGTATTAATATCATGATCAGAAATCTGAGATTCAGGACTTACCAGTGGTTCAGATGATTGAGGTTGCTGATGAAGTAGTGTGGGTTGTTTCCTTCTATGATATACCAACTCAGGTGTCACAATCTTCCGTCTCTTTGGTGTACTTGATGGATCAGACACAGGAGGATCAGACACAGGAGAATCAGACACAGGAGGAACATAGACAAGAGGAGAAGGTGAAGGAGTAGACACTGAAGATTCAAACTCAAAGAAGGAATGTGATGAGTTTTCTGAAGAATTGTTCTCCCCCTGAAGATGAGGACCTTGGAAAAAGGACTCAGATTCCTGAAATGTAACATCCATAGAAACAAAAAAATTTCAGCTACCATGGTGATAACACTTGTAGCCCTTCTTGTCAGGAGCATAATCAAGAAAAACACATTTAAGAGCCCTAAGATCTAACTTACTGCGATGATAATTATGAACATGAACAAAGACAACACACCCAAACTCTCGTGGAGTAAGACTCTGCATAGTTGGAACATAAGGGAAAAAAGAAGTTATTGAGTGGATGGGACTTACATTGTCAAGAACCCGAGTGGGTAAGCGGTTGACCAAGAATGCTGCAGTAAGAATGGCATCTCCCCAATAGCATTTGGGTACATGTGTTTGAAACAGTATGGCACGAGCCACTTCAAGAAGGTGACGATTCTTTCTTTTAGCAACCCAATTTTGTTGCGGGGTGTCTACACAAGTAAGTTC